CCCCCCTCTCCCCGCTGGCTACGCCCATGGTTCAGCGCTACCCAACCTAGCTGATCACGCCACTGCAAGTATGAAAAGAAATATTCATCTGCAAATTGACGACCTTGGTGAGAATCTATTCAGCAATTCAGAAAATCTATCACGATTGACTCGGATGCCTGATTTCACAGCGGAACTCCATAGGCTTCCGGCAACCGACGCGTCGTGACGCGTGACGTGTCAAAGATCAACTCATAAAATAAATAGCTAAAAATGTGTGAGAAACGTACGCTAGTCACGCTATTGCTAGATCCATGTGGGCCGATCGTGCTTGACCTACCACCGGTATAGCTCATTATGCGAAACAGCACAAATGTTGTTTAAAGGGAAAATACAACATTTGCAAACATCAAAAAATAAAACTACCAAATAATTTTGAAATACCTTGCTGGACTGTTAGTGAATGACAGTGTATTAAAAAGCATCCTGTAACTTTTATCATGGCACCTGGTATACTGTCATTTTCAAGAAAAGTGGTATTTCCAACGCTGATCGGCCGATGAGCGTTGGAAAAAACTGTTTTTTTTCAAATACTGGCCCCAATTGACCATCGCACTTGTTTGCAATCGATTACAAACCAATGAACGGATACGAGCCAGCTAGACTGGTTCCCTGACCTTACAATTCCCCAATGTATGTAAACTGCCAGACTATAGGAAAATGATGTTTTTCTTGGTTTTCTTGGCATTTTCGGACCCAAAACCTCAAAAAAAGTCAGTGTAGGCCCTAACTATATTTGCTATATATTTCCAACCCCCCAATTGCATTTTTGAAAATTACAGCAAAAGCAAATGATGTATATTCCCTTTGAAGTATCTTTGATCTACAATCCCGGCCAAAATAGTTGGGACACTTGGAAATAACCAGTAGCCTTTCACGGTCACCCGCTCCCCCGGTCAATGTTGTTCTCTCCAGCTGATGGAGCACACACCGCGGACTGAGAGACAACATTGGCAGGGGCCGGGGGGGGGGGGGGGGCCCAGCGAGATTTGGCCAGGATTGTAGGCTGTCCATTTTTCGTACTCATTCGTAAAAGAAATATCCTGCACACACAGTGCCCGCACTCATGCTTGAACATATACCCTTGCTCATGGAAATCAATATCGTTACAAATTGATCCGCTTTATATTGCAACTTCATTGAATCCAGTGGCTTTTGTGTGTAAATTTCGCAACGAATTACTATAGGCCTATACGCAAAAAAACACAAAAGTTCTGGCTAAATACGGAGGGGTTGGATATCCCAGAAACATGTTGACTATAGGACAGCAGTAGGCCTATTTTACGCCCCTTGTTAAATTTCTTACTATAGTTTTGGTCCATATGAGTCAGTGAACCATTCCCAATGCTATAGCCTCTATGCTGCTACTGTTTGCTCCATATCCCATGCGTGTTAATTCGTAGGATTATAACGACAAAATAATTAATAGTAGCCTAAGGGTGTACGATTTTCGTATCGAATTACTAATCAGAAATTACAGGGCTTACACAAATGTTCTGGGAAATACGAAGGAGATTGGATTTATCCCAGAAATGTGTTAAGTTTAACAACTGTACAATGTAATTACCCCAAAACGACTCTATTTAGCGCGATAAACCGTGCTCAAAGTACCATATAGGGTGTACTAAAACAACATACCATGCAGTATTTGAAATTATTCCGCCTTAAATAGTATGGACTATGGAAAATGTCTTCTGATTTTCGAATCACCCATTTACTGGGACCGCGACACCATGCACACTATAACTAACTTAATGAGAATCATGTCCTGCAAGACTGAGCGCTGATCTCGGGAAGATTTTATACAGGAGGATGCCATGCAATTCATACTAACACGACAAATTTTGAATATAGCCGCAACATAATCCACTTTCAAGACTAAACACTGTAGACCTACATATACATTTTCTGTGTTTTCTCAATATGCATAGCATATCCACTAGCCTATAAAGAGGGCGAGTATGCTTCTAAAGCAAAACATAAACTACAGACTAAGCCTAAATGTGAAAATCAAAATGTGACAAAGTTCGACATGTTTTTGTACATGGTGGAAGTGTGGCCTTTATTTACGGAGGTAGTCCAGTAAATTGGGGCACATTTATGGGGCTAGTGTTGGGGATTTGGGTAGACCCCGTCTAGCCAAGCGACAAACTTACCGGATGAAGTTCACAGGAATTCGTGGGTGGTGTTTTAGGTGTATTCTCCTATGCTGGCTCAGGCTTACAAGAGGCAGGTACCGGGAGCCCAGGGCTTCATATAGGGTGCAGCGCTATCACGTGATCATGCTGCTGCCAAACATGCCCATAAATGGGTAGAACTACTTTGCATAATAATAATAACGACGAATTGCGTTGCCCTCCACCAATCAAACCTGACCAAGTGTCCTTGTCGGGCATAAAAGCCTTAAAGGAGATCAAAATATTGATCTCACAATAGCTGTATTATTTACACTGCTGCAGAGTACAATGCATGCTGTCCTTCGATATTACAAAACTGTTTAATTCCAATAAGTTGCACTTTCGGGTCAAGAAAATTCTGCACTGAAGTCTCGATAATATGGCCCAATTTTGTTATTATTAGTATACATTAAAATGGAAGAGCAAGAAATCGTGAATCTCAAATGTAAAAACTACAACATAATTGATCAGTTGGCAAACCCGTTTATACTGACGCTTAGTTTGCGTCACAAGATTGTAAAGTGTCCCTTTCAGTGCTTAACAAATACACGAACAGTTTGTTCGGTAGCGGTCTCTTTATCTTTTGAACAAATTGATGTTAAGAGTTAACTCTCGGATTGGATAAAATCTGCCGTTCATTAATCTTTCGTTAGTTAGTGCACATCAGTGGCGCATGCGCACCCAGGATTTTTTTTTTGGGGGGGGCTCACAATTTGTTTTTTCGCATTTTTTAGAATTTTTTGGGGGACTAATATTGACCTTGGTGACACCAATTACCCCTCCCATATATTATACTTCTCGAAAAGCCCCTCCCCCAAAAAGCCCCCGAGAGCCCCCCCAGCGGCGCCACTGCAGCACATTCCTTACATTTGATTTTACGGAGGCCTGTGTCCAGAGAAAAACTGACTTTATCTTTGAGCATGAACGGAGGAAATAAGGCGCCCCTCGATCGTAACGTCCACTGAGCCTCCCCCCCCCCACTCCCCCCCCCCCCTTTAGGATGAGAACCCTGGCTACGCCGCTTGTACGGTGTGGACCTGCGCTGCGAGTGGTGGCGAGTGCCAGGGATGTATTCGTCCCCGGGGGGGGGGGGGGGGGGGGGTTGACACTCGCCCTATATACCGCCTCTCAGGACCACACTCCCCCGGGAGACTAGACCTTTTAACTCTGTAAAAATGACATCGGGCAATGACCTCTCATTTCAGACGGAAGATACCAGTTTAAAGGCTGCTCATTTTTGTAAATAACAAACAAGTAAAAATCGTTACAACTTTACATGAGACTATGGCTGAATGAGACTGTATCGACTATGTTCCATCATGCATGCTGAACATTGATGAGTTCAAAATACCGGCACACAGAGACATTGTGTTTCTTGGTTGGGTCCCAGACTTGAGACATCGATTTTCGACTTGATCGAAATCCTTGTATGGGTTTCAGGCTTCAAGTGTGATCATGCATAAATAACTTGGCACCAAGGACCCCGTGTGTAGGCCCCTGCAATTCGCAAGGGGACTCAAGAAGGTAAATGCCAATTTTCGCTCTTCGCTCGTACTCCCGCTTTGCAAACAGGAGGGCGGGGGTACGAGCCAAATTTTCGCTCATGCAGCATCCTTGCCAGGGCGTGGCGAAGTCGTTGTCGGCAGAAGGGGAGGCGGTCGCCAGGGTTCTCACCAGAGGGGCGGGGCCGGGGGGGGGGGCTGGATGCTACAGTGGGGGAGGGCCCCAGCATGCCCAATCTCTTTTAAACCCAATAACCATGTTCACTTACAGGACTAACACAGCTAGAGGAGAGCGGGCGACTGGTGAAGACAGTTTCTTTTTTTTTTGGGGGGGGGGGGCGTGCGCCCGAGTCTATTTTCACTGAAGCAGGCCTTTCGCAAATTGGAAAAGCAGGGGTCGGGGGTGATCTCAGTATTACCCGTTATCCACGGAACCAATTCTCCTGGGGATCGGGGGGGGGGGGGGGAGTGTAAATCGTTAATCCGCCAATATACATGCTCGCAACTTTCTCATGTTTTTTTTTATTCACAGGTCGGTTCATTAATTAAAGCCTGCTTCTTCAATGTTTGTGAATCTCATGGCTTTAACGGATTTTCCATCTCCTGTAACTCGTCTCAGAAATAACAAGTTACAGAAATGTTGAGATTATTATGCAGTGTTCATTGCGATAGGCATTTTTTTCACCTACATGTACGTGCCTGCGAACAGCGGAGGAGGTATTTTTTCAGGGGAGGTATAAACGCACCGTACCTCAAAGCAAAAGGAACTCAAATGTATTGCAAGTACAAGTTATAGATGATGAACAATGCCATTTAGCAGCATTTCTTAAAAGTACGTGAGAACATTGGTAATTATACGCATCAGGAAACGACCCTTGCTCAAACTCAAGATAGGGATGGTATTGAATGTCCTGTACAATTATTCCGCCTAAATTTGTATCGTTCGAAAAACGACATCACTGAGCAAAATTAATGTGACTATTAAAACATCCGTGGGCACATTTTTTGTGCGAAGGCAACGGAGTAAAGAGAACCGCCCCCCGGCCCCTCCCCCCAAGAAATGTTAATGTGCACTATGTTTTCCTTGTTTTTACAAAACATGTATAGTAGCCACTGAGCTAAAAAAACCAATCGGGTCAGGTTAGTTCCCTATCCCCAACAAAACATTTTGAGCAATGATGGTAATGGACAAGAGACTCAGCAGAACTGGGTGACTTGCGCTGCAAATGCCTCACATCCAATGTAAACATTTGTCTACAACGGCGCCCTCTCGCGGCAGAAATATTATCCATTAATAATGTGACCGCTGTTTTGATCGCCGGGCGGTTAATCATTTGTTGACAATAATCGCGAGTGTGAAAATGGGGAGAATTTGCAAAGTTGTCGTTTGTGGGAGTTCCTGCGTAGGAAAGACAGCAATGCTGGAGCAGGCGATATTTGGAAACCATGTTATTGGTAACGTAAGTACGGCTCGTGTTGCGTTTTACGTTTGCGTGATCAGATCAATGTGGGCGTGGCTAGAGGCATCAGGAGAGGGGAGGTTGCTACTGAAAGTACCTGACGCTGTTTTTTTTCTTCATATCATCTCAATGTAGGTCAGTCCTTGCAAAGATGATGATAAGACATGAATCTGGGACCGATAAACATTTCCAATTTTGTTAGGAAATACATGTTTGTTGGCTAGGCTACTTGACTACACAACTTGAACTTGCTTAGACCCGTGAACGTGGCGTTGTATACAAGCCACGTTCACAGGTCTAGAACTTGCTGAACTGTAGACACATGAACGTGGCGTAGTTTATGTTCACATCACAGGTCTAGCTGAACTGATGCCTGAAGTGATGTCAGGTTGCAACATTCTTTCTCAAACTCAAAGGTCGACTTAGCTCTACTGAGTGGAGTGTTGACCGTAGTTCAACGCTCCACTCAGTAGAGCTAAGGTCGACTCATTAAAGATAGTGGATATTTTGCCGGAGGTAATGACGGCAAACTAACGTTTACTAAAGGTTTGGTGTAGTGGTTAAGTAAAGGCTTCTTTTATTATTTTAACATGTCTCAAACATTTTTTTGCAGAGTATTACATTTTCTTTTTCAGATTTGTGGCTCTGGAGGATTTTTTTTAAAAGGGAAATATAGTCCGAAATTATAAAATGGTCTGAATCCCATCTTGTGAATACGAGGTTACAACGATAATTTTGGCATGGAGCCAGACTAAAATTTGTCACCGGAAAATGTTTAAGTACAAAAAAACAGTAACTGCGCATGTTCAGTGCATATCCGGCAAACTAACGTTTACTAAAGGTTTGCCGTCTCCGGCAAAATATACACTGCCTTAAAGATATAGTCCATCATTTGTAATTTGTGCATTTTGTTCGTTTGAAGCAACAAAAGTGTTCAAAATCTAATGAAGGATACTGAACAACTAACCTGATGAAGTTTCAGTTCAGCTTCAGCTGTATATTTCGAGAAAAACAGCATTCTAGGATCTCAATTTCAAATCAAAAGTTGCTGAATCATGTTTTGAATTGTTTTGAATTGCAGCTATACGCGATGTCGCGCACTGATCTGACGAATTATAACAACAGCGCGCGCCTGTGCGTCGTGCCAATGCTTGCGCGCGCTGCGCCGAATAACAAAAGGAACTACTAATTTAAATTTTCTTACGGTGCGTCTTAAGACGCACCGTTGGAAAGGCCTTCTTTTGTTGATTACTTCAAACTGATAGCTTGCCAGAAAGATTAATTTCACAGGGAGTTTAGTCCACTTACTATCTTTCAACCAAGTATGTTTTTAAACAATAATACGCCAGTTACTTTTTTGGATGGCTGCAAATGATGGACTATAGCTTTAAAAGATTAACTACAGAATGCAGCCCGGCCATAACAAGCAACAGCTCTTCAAAATTGATGGAGGTGATGTTGGATGTTGAGTATACAGGGTATATTAGAACTCCGATGACCCAGCATTATCAGAGTCAGGCCAAAAAGCTGCCCTGGTTGATCTATACATGTAACTCTTTAAAAGTTTGGGAACAATGGTTTTTAGGACATCAAACTCACAACTTTTTGAAAAATCAGAGTTTTTACTCCCCAACGTTTGTTTTTCGACATCGCGAACGTTGCACACGGCCACACGCAATACCATGTAGGCCGACCATGTATCATAGCACACGAATCGAACACCGTATTAAACCATTGGACCACAGAGCCCTGTTTTTAATAATGTGATCACGGTTTATGATACGATTATTTTAAAATGTTCTTTCTCTATATAATTAGCCAAACTCCATCCCTACGATAGAAGACATCTACGTAGCTTCCGTGGAGTCCAACCGGGGCATCAGAGAAAAGGTGCGGTTCTACGACACAAAGGGACTGGTGAGTTTAATTAGATCATAGTGTACATAACCCCCGAGGACAGACACACAAAGGGAGAACAACAGATCCTTTCAGTCCTTGGGAGTTGGGTCTTTTGTTCAAAACGGTCCTCTGTGGTAGGTCTGTGTGCTTAGTCTACAGGGAGTGTGTTATATTACAGGGACAAAGGAAAACGCAAAGCATTGTCCTCGGAAGTGTAGTAAAACAAGAGTGTGTGAGTGCGTTGCGCGGCTGCTGTGTATGTTAGTGGCCGACCATTGATCATCAGACACTACTGCCGAATGCCTTGACAAAAGCTATGGTTAAACTGTGTTTACTAAGATTACTTTTGAATCTGAAAAGTTTTGATTCTTATGTTTTTTTTCTAGGATCCCAGGAGCAACCCAGAACTTCCCAAACACTACTTTGCCATTGCGGATGTAAGTGACATATTATAGAGGTTAGCATGGTGGTTAGCCTGCCGAATAGGTCGTCTGGGTCCAAATTCATGGCTCTGCCTACCATTAGCGAAACATCCCTGCTTTACTGTAGCCGAAAAATTCTGTGCTTACAATAAGCGTATTTCACTGGTTAGCCAGGAATTGTGGCTTACGGGCATGCGTACATCCCGTAACTTGGTAAGTGCAGGATTGTTTTTTGCTAGCGCTGTCAGCACAGAATGGTGATTGTAAGAATTCTGTGGTCGGCAGCGTAAGTTAAGCACTGTTTCGTGAAATCGGCTGCTGTACTGAAATAAAATTTATTATTGTCAGATTACTCTGCATGGTCGAGTTTCACTCCATTTTATCTTGAAGTGTTTTTTTTTCTTAATGGCAGGGCTTCATTCTGATGTACAGCATCACCAGTCCAGAGTCCTTCCGACAGGTACAGCTGCTCAAGAAAGAGGTTGACAAGATCAGCAAGGAGAAGGACAAGAGAGATGTAAGAGACGAGATGGGAACGGGCGTGTCACGTTGATGTGCCCAATGAAGTAGCCGTTGCTTATTGAGGGTGTACGATTTGTTTTTGCCTATTTCTGAAACAAATGAAGGGAAAATAATAGGCGTGGGTGACTAGTGAATTTCAATAGTCGCGACTAGTTGCAATAAAAAGTTGTTTTTAGGCCAAAAAAAAAATATTCGGTCTCTGGTCAGACCAAAGTTCCGGAATTGACGTGGCCACGCGGCTGTATTTTTTTTTTCTTCAAGCTTGGATTGTACAGACAAGGCAGGTACTATTTTGCTTTTTTGGTGTCCTCATGTACATTGGTGTCCTCCATAATTTGCCTTGGTGCTTTCGATCATTTGCCTTGGTGCAATTTCCCATTCCTTAGTGCTCTTTGTTAAAAAAAATTGAGGAGGTGCGAAAATAGAGGGCGCTGTTGGAGCTACTGCGGAACATTTTGGGAAAAAAAAAAGATCGACGCGCATGATTAAAATCACGACTAGTTGTGATAAAAAGTTGCAAATAGTTGGAACAAAAAGTCGCACCTAGTTGACTAGTAGCGACTAGTGACACATATTAATCTGGTCAATGGACCTTTTTACTAATAAATTCATTTATACAAGTATACGCATGCTTATGGGGGTACAAATACTCGTTTGAAATTTAAAGACTGCTTCTGTACAGGTTGGCCTACATGGCATGCAGTGTGTTGGTGCAGTCACACTGTGTGATTGTAAGCACGATTGTAAGTACTATTCATGGACAGACATGTAGTTGGACTTACAGTGAAGCGGTATAACGACTAGTCGCGGCATAACGACTAGTCGCGGCATAACGACTAGTCGCGGCATAACGACTAGTCGCGGCATAAAGACTAGTTGCAGTATAACGACTATCTGCGGCATAAGGACTAGTCGCGGCATAACGACTAGTCGCGGCATAACGACTAGTCGCGGCATAACGACTAGTCGCGGCATAACGACTAGTCGCGGCATAACGACTAGTCGCAGCATAACGACTAGTCGCAGTATAACGACTATCTGCGGCATAACGACTAGTCGCGGCATAACGACTAGTCGCGGCATAACGACTAGTCGCGGCATAACAACTAGTCGCGGCATAACGACTAGTCGCGGCATAACGACTAGTCGCGGCATAACAACTAGTCGCGGCATAACGACTAGTCGCGGCATAACGACTAGTCGCGGCATAACGACTAGTCGCGGCATAACGACTAGTCGCGGCATAAAGACTAGTTGCAGTATAACGACTATCTGCGGCATAAGGACTAGTCGCGGCATAAGAACTAGTCGCGGCATAACGACTAGTCGCAGTATAATGAGTAGTCGCGGCATAACGACTAGTCGCAGCATAACGACTAGTTGCGGCATAACGCAAGTCGCGGCATAACGACTAATCGCGGCATAATTACTAATCGCAGCATTATGACTAGTGGCGGCATAACAACTAGTCGCGGCATTACAGCTTATTGCGGCAGAACGACTAATCGCAGCATAAAGAGTAGTCGCGGCATAACGACTAGTTGCAGTATAACGACTAGTCTCGTCATAATGAGTAGTTGTGGCATAACGACTCGTCGCGCATAATGACTCGTCGCGACATAACGCCTTGTCGACATAATAGTTCTAGTGGACTATTTAGGAATTGATAGTGGTGACTACCAATGCTTTTTAGCATTAGCGACTAGTTGCACTTGTCGTACAGGCCTAGAAAATAGGTCTACTTTACAAATAGGTCTACATTGACTGGAGTCAATGTGACAACTAGTCTCGGAATAACGAGTAGTCGAACCTGTGACCTCCAGATTGCCGCACAGGTGCGCTACCAACTCATCTATCCAGCCCTATGTTGGTGGTTCCCCAATAGTTGGTTTCCCATTGTTTTCTTTGAAAAGAAAAATCTGCAATATTTCTCTTTCAAGATAGCCATATCACTACATGTGCTTTATAGAAACTTCTGATTTGTTATTGGAAACGTATAAAAATTGAAATAACTATTGTCTGGACGAGTATCACCCTACTCTACCTGTCCCCCAAAATACAAGGTCATTATGATAACGGGAAGATTTTCTTGCTAAAATAACAAAAGCCCATTGAATTTGACACAACAAAACCTAGAATTAAATTGAATTGAACAGTACCTGCAAAGTTTAATATCCTCAAACAATTCCAAAAGTACTTGATGTCGTAGAAATTCAAGTGCTTTTCAAAAGTACCAATAAGCCCATTGAAACGATCTGAAATCTTTTCCCTAAACTGAGAACGGCAATCAGAAAAATACACAAAACCGTACAGTGTAAACACAAATTGCACACTGAGGTCTATTTGGGCAAACATCGATTTTTTTCACTTCCGTCTGATGGTAAACTTGCATGTGAACTGGAATTAGCCAATAGATGCTTTTCTGGCATTAGGGTAGTTTCTTTTCAACCAGACCTTTGAAATATGATAACTTATTAAGTAAACAATCTAAAACATGAAGTTATCAGAGATTTGAGGCCGAACAAAAAAAAAGTCTGTCACGAGCCAATATGGCCCATCAGGCCGGCGTTTATCTCCGGTTTCAGTAGCATGAAACGACTGAGAATATTTCTACTCCCCCTGGATTGGATGCTAGTCCATCGCAGGTTACTCCCCAGCTAATGCCGGTACCCGTTTATACTCCTGGGTGGAGAGAGGCAAGTAGCATGCCCAAGGACACAACATACGGCCGGCAGCTGGATTCGAACCCCTGACCCTCTGATCGCGAGTCACGAACCCTAACCAATAGGCTACACTCTCGCCTGATAAAGCCATTTGCGTGCATTATTTAGCATAGATCCTTTCTTGGTGTTCAATGCATTGCATTTTCATTTTTTCCTCGATGCATTCAGGTTTCTCTTATTGTCGTTGGCAACAAGGCTGATTTGTACAAGGAGAGACAGGTGGAATACGACATGGTGTGTGCATGGGCCCAAAAGGAAAAAGGTAATATTGGTTGTTATTATTATTAAATATTTACAGAAAACAAGGATTCCTCAAAACACCCTAGGCACTGTAGCTCGCAAGCCTGAAGAAAAGTGTAGAGAAAAGACAGTGAGAAGAAATTACAATTTTAGAGGTGGGAGGAAAACCCCAGAATGATTTTCCAGGGAATAACCCAAGGAATCAGGCAGGGACTGAAAACCCAATCCTCATATTGGCCCAGGCGGGAATCGAACCCGGGTCACAGCGGTGGAAGGCGAGGAAAGTACAGCTACGCCAACCTGACTCCCCAAGTTAGATGTTTAAGAGGTCGATCAGTTGGGTGTAATTCTTTTGTACAAGTCATATCCGGGACGAGTTCTGGACATTGTATCGGGTATATAAGTTGCAGCTAGGATTCGGAACAATTTCCTCGCAATCATCCCGCAATGAAGTTATCAGTATTGGATTGGTGAGTCATGCATTTGCTGATGAAAATTTCCCCGGAACATGTCTGGGACAAATGCAGAGCTTCTTCTGGATACTGAATGATTCTACCCGCAACTTGTCCAGACAAAACTGGACGGAACTCGTCTCAGATACGAATTGAGACGGGGCATTATTTAAGAGTGCAGATTTATTTGGTTAGATGTTAGAGTGGTTCATATATAATGGACACCAAAGTGAGCATGAATTTGTGATGGAATAGCTGGTATACTCACTGCAAATTCGCAAATGTTTAAAACATTTCACCTTAGTCCGTTCCCCTTTGTGCAGAGATGAAACTGGCCTTAGCAAAAAATATCTGGGGCCAATTTCATAGAGCTGCTTAAGCACAACATTTGCTTAAGCACAAACAATTCTTGCTTAATGAAATCTGGGCCCAATTTCATAGCGCTGCTTAACAACCAACTTTGTGCTTACCGAGCCTCCATCTGTTTCATAGGGACTGTTAAGCAGTAAGCACAGCAAAAGCACGCTTAACCCAAGAAGAAAACTTTGCTTAAATCAGTGACGTAACAATAGGAATCTCCATGCGCGCGCAACCGTTAGCATGAAATAGTGCTTAAGCAGCAGCATGATTTTCTGCTATAGTAAGCACAACTTTTCTGCTTACTGTTAAGCAGTGCTATGAAATTGGGCCCAGGTTACCGGCCAAAACTCCATGCGATTGTTGTGCTAAGTAAACAACAGCTAAATACCAGTCACAAGCAATGTACATCGCATGGAATTTTGGCCGGTAACCTTGGGTCCGAGCTGCCACAGCGTTGCGCAGCACAGCGCATCAATGTCATAGTGAGTATTTAACCTTTTCTCTAGCTGGAAAAGGATCTGATAAGCATTGGTCTAGGTGTTTTACACTTGTGTACATTTTGACGTGCCATTTTCATTGACTTTTCTTGCAAATTATAATGAAATGTTTTTTTTTTGTGGGATCATTAAAAAAATCTGAAATTTCATTGAAAACGTTTTAAAAATCCGATTTCAGATTAAAATCTGAAAAGTTTCATCTCTGCAGTTTTGTGGTTTATTTGAACATTTCAACTCTCGCAAATTGCTTGAACCGGCGTTTTTTTCTTGTGCCTCCAGTTCCACTGTACGAGGTGACAGTAGCCAATAGGAAAGTATTGATGGAACCCATCGTGGCTTTGACATCTAGGCTCACCCTACCTATTGGTAAGAACATGTTGCAAAGCCCCTCTTTTGACTTCGGTTTCGGCTTACAGGGATTTTTTCGGCCCCTGAAATGGGGACTCCTGTGCAATAAAAGCGCATTTTATACACGTATGGTTTTAGAAACATGAAATCCACTAATATGAGCCAAAGCTTACAGAGTTCTTAGCCAAAGCATGTATCGGAATCTGGAGTCTGAAATGACGCCAAAGCTGGAGACAAAAGCCGATGTTTCAGAAACACTGCTCCAATTAGAAACTATAGAGGGCGCTGCACAGCCTATGCACAAGGGACGAGGAAGGACCAAATTGTGTTTGTGCAATGATTTGTGCATGTGAATTGTGCGTAGTGGTGGGATACAAGTCCAGATTTTAAAAAATTTGGTTGAGTTTGGTATTCGGTTTTGATGTTGGAAAACAGATATTCAGAACCAACCTTAACAAAAATAAAGCCTTCCAGCTTTTATGGCACAGGCTAAAGAGAAACAGGAAAATCCCCAAATTTGCTCTATGGTCTCCGATTGTAACTGCATTTACTTGCTTGTGGTCTTCTTGGTAGATGAATAGCCTGCCCATTCGACTTATCAGAGAGTTCCCACCAATTTTTTTTGGCTCTGGAGTGTTTTTGTGAAGGCCCAGTGGTCATTGAATCTGCATGCTATGCCCAGTCATTAGGAGGGCATTGCATGTGGCACCTCACTCCTCACTTTTTTGTTGGCATGACTGTGACCTGAATGAAAACTTCAGTGAAATCGGATTTTATTCCGTTTTAAAAAATAGAATTAAACCGGATTTTGTAATCTTCACTTTCTCTGACCACCAATTTGTGCATAGTGCTTTGACAAGTTTTGTGAGACTTTTTTAAGTGTTAGATAGTTTCGATAGTTTGCGCCTGACTTGTGTTGTATTCTGCAGGCTCTGTACTTGCTGTCGGATTCGGTCAGCTTCAGCAGAGTTACCTACATGAAAAAAGAAAGAAAGTTAAACAGGGACATATCAGATGAAATTGATGTTTGTTATTTCTTCTTTGCAGTGAAATCCAGTTTCCCGTTATCGGTGCGCATCAAGCCCAGACAGATGACAAGCACAGCCTCTCAAGATGTCTGAACCCAACGATGGGTCAGCCAGGGGTCATGGTTCATCCAGGGGTCACAGGCAGAATGCCCCATCATTTATCCAGTGCAATAGTGGTGTCTTCTTTGAGTTCACTACAGGGGCTATTTTCTATGGAATTGCTTATTCCTAGTTAGATTCCAATGGGAAAAGGTCACTCAAATTAAATTGTTACAAGCAGAAGAGGTTAACAAGTACCGGATGTAAGGTACCATTTGTCCCCCCCCCCCAATTTTTTTTTGCTGACGGGGGGGGGGGGGGGGGGGGGGGGGGGGGACTCAGCTAAAAAGTTGTTATTCACAAGTTAAAGAACCAAACATATTTTTCCCTTAAAAGAGTTTATCCTTAAGTGTCTTGCGACGGTGCTCAAAACACAGACATTAAATATTTTCAAAGGAGTAAAAAAAAATGTAGATTTCAGTTTGCAATGAACCTCTTGGCGATTTTTGGCAAAAGAAGGTAAAGCTTCAATTTAAACTTGCATAAATTGAAAGAAAGTTTGAAAAAAAAATGAAGTTAATAACCAAGAAAATAGTTTTCTTACCTTAAAAGTTCAGATTAACATTGGCAATCTGCTGTATATATTGTAAATATTCGTAAATTAACACCACAAAAGAAAGAAAGTCCACACTCATTGGAGGGGTCTTAATTTTGAGTCTGATCGTCTTATGATAACGTCATTTATGTAGACCTTTGGGGAATTTTGTTGGCTACATTTTGATACCCTGTTTGCTACCAAAGACTGCAAATCGTCCAACACTGACAACGGTTCATGAAAAATGATGCAGTTTGAAAAGTTGCAAATTTAAAGAATACGCGAGTGGAAATTGCTCCTTGACAGTGTCACAATGCCCGAAACGAACGGCAGGGAATACCGATCGCGCAGTTCTTGCTTGCATGGGAGCACGCGAATTGAATTGCCCGCGCTTTGTTCGGGCACTGTGCAGTGGATAGGGGCCAATTACAGGCATGTGTGGTTACACTTAGCAATTTCTCCTCGCGTAATCTTTAAATTTGCAACTTTTCAAACTGCATCATTTTTCATAAACCGTTGTCAATCTTGGACGATTTACAGTTTTAGGTAGCAAACAGGGTATCAAAATGTAGCCAACAAAATTCCCAAAGGTCTCAATAAATGACGTTACCATAAGACGATCAGATTAAAAAATATTGACCCTCCAACGAGTGTGGAATTTTTTTTGGCGGTGTTAAATTTAAGTTAAGATAAACATTAATTTTTGTTTCATTATTTAGGCTGTGCTGTTATACATATCGACCGTTGTTACACCCAGTCGAGGAAATTATGAATTAAAATGTGCAATAAGCATTTCTTTTTATTCTCAAGGCATAATTGTAAAAATTTATTCATTCTTCGGTACAAACTTTGTCTTTTTTCCCTTGCTGCTTTGAAAGTAGTACATATTCACATCAATTGTACAAGTGTCGTTTCTCAACATTGACATATAAAAAGAAAACAAAAACACATTTAAGGCTTCGATCTTCATCAAAGTAAAACTGATACTATAGGTTTTCCCGGCAAATAAAAAAAAAAAAAAGGTTCATTTTCATCAACACACATTCATATTTGTGCAGATTTTTTGATTTTGTTCATACTGGGTTTTTTCTTTTTCCCTATATTATCGCATTCGTTTTCGTGTACACATGATTCTGGTTTTGCCATTCAGGTTCGTTTCAAATCATTCAATTTCGTTTATAGGCATTCAAAACTACATTTTCACCATTCTTAAGTTTAGTTTCTACTGTCTTTTTTCCAATTGGTGCAATCAAATTAAAAGTCATCGAAGCGTGCAGGATCTTTTATCTATGTTTTTTTTTCTTTTTCGTTTAGAGTCAATCAATTTTCAAACTCTTGAGTGTTCATTTTAGATATGATATGGATTGTTGGAGTAGGTATTGCTATCTTTCTTTCACTGTAAGTTGTTCTGAATGATATTCTTGTTTCATAATCGTTGCCTTGATTTGAATAATTCCTTTTTATCATTATTCTATAATTTGTGTCTATGCCCGTCTCTCGAGTCATATGGCACAATTTTTTGGTGGTTATTTTAAATCAAATTCTTGATCAACCTTATTCTAGGCCCTTCCACGAATTTGAATGAATGAAACGACTATTTGAATTCTTATCGATAGACCGCTCAAATAACGAAATTGAACGACTCTTTTTGATGCTCTAATGCTCAAACAAGGGAGCATTCGTTTCAAAACGAATTTGTTAAAAAATTAAACGTGTTAAATTGAACAATTTTTTTGATGAATTTGGCCAGGAAAACCTATATGAGGGGTGTGAGAATGGAAACCACCAAAATGACTGGGGAAATAATGTATAGACGTGCCCCAAAAAAAGAAGTCACTTAAAAAGTCTCTACAGATTCTTTCCAGTCAGAATTCTGTTTCTGTTTGACTAATTTGTTTTCTTGTAACCGTTTACACTTATAACTGAAGTACACTTGTTCATAACTTACAATCTATAAAATAAAACTCCATACAGGGTGAGTAAAAAAACCCCCGAAACCCAAATGTTGGGACCGTTGTTTTAGTGAAGTTCTACATGTAGCACTTTCAAAATCTAGGATATGAAAGTCAAATTCATTAGCTTTCTTTTAGTACAAGAATCATTCAAATCACTCTTGTACTTTTCAAGTTACGGAGTTTTAAACACAACCACCGTTTTAAAGTTCTGTCCACGGATCACTAAAAAAGGTGTGCGTTCTTTCAGCAAAACGAAAACAAATCACACACATCCGTATGTGATTTGTTTTCGTTTTGCTGAAAGAACACTCGACCTTTTTGTGATCCGTGGACAGAACCTTAAAACGGTGGTTGTGTTTAAAACTCTGTAAGGCAAAAAAAAAAAAGTCTCCGGTTTCTGGTATGCGCGCACGTCGCCGTAGCCATGCACGTCGGCAAAATGAAAAAGTTTTTTTTTCAATGAAAGATGATGTCTCAAAACCGCCAAACTCACTGGTTTGACTGGAATCCTGCTGCTGCACAATTTTAACGCGTTTTTAGATGGGGTTATGATCGAGAATAAGCTTTATGTGGCCTCTCTGGACTCCCATATATTTGCACTAAGTTTAGTCGGGCACCATTTGCAGTCATCAGCCGACATTTGAAGTAAAAAAGTCAGGTAAAAAAAAAAAAAAAAAAAGCCGCGTCGCCGCACCACTTTTTGGACAAGCTCCATACCAGAAACCGGAGACTTATTTTTTTTGGCCTAACTTGAAAAGTACATGAGTGATTTGAATTATTCTTGTACTAAAAGAAAGCTTATGAATTGGCCTTTCATATCCTAGATTTTGAAAGTGCTACATGCAGAACTTCACTAAAACAATGGTCCCGACATTTGGGTTTCGTTTTTTTTTACTCGCCCTGTATTCTTTACTTTTCGCCCTTTCATCACTCTTTACAGCAGCATTTGCTTGCATTTCATTTGACCGTTGCTCAGTCTGACTCGACAGAGCCTTGTTTTTAAATTTAGGTAAGTTGCAACCGTGGAAAATAACAGAAACATACATGAGAGTAACTACCATCAAAGTGTTCACAGTATTGACATGGATTACTAAGAAAACAAGAGACGTGGTTGGAAAAGCATTAATGTCAAAACTTTGGACAAAACTGCATACTTAACCAATGCAAAAAAAAATTGGATTTGTACAGGGCTTAATAAAATACTACTGCAGCCATTTTGCGTTTGGTTCCCTGAAGTCAAGGCAGTGATTGCACCACCCATTTTACTCAAAAGGCACCAGCCTATCTCTACCTCTGGTTAACCAACATTTCATGAATTTTACTCAAATTAACCTGTTTCGGACCAGAAAGGACTGACATTGGCACTTTTCTCAGATTACACCGTGACTGCTGGGCCGACACAAAACCACCACCAAATAACTCATTGTGCTAGCATCGATTTTTATCATACTATCTTAAACGGCTCATAAATTTGGCAAAAAGTTGATTTTCTTTATCAAGTCTGTACCTATACTTTCCCTTTAAAAACTTCTGCTTAACAATGAATATCCAAGGTTTAAATATTCAAACACATTATTTCATACAGCAGTGCCTGTTTGCTTTTGAATAACAATTCATCAATAAAATAATGAATTAAAAGGAATACGCGTTTGCCTTCTTGCTAGTTTTTTTTAAAATTAATTTGGTGGTTTTCTGCTTATTAATTGAACTTCAATTTAATTACTGCAGTTTTCTAATGAAGTGCACGATAGAGAGATCATGGGTGCCTGATTATGAAAAGAAAAGAGTTATATATATCCTTTCGAAAGTACACTTGTAATTATTCTGGGTATTGTGCATTTTGCAAATCAATACATTAATATGTACATGTATACATGTAAAACAAAACAGGCCTACATGTACCCTTTTTCCAAAACTTGGCTTCAGCTTCATATGCTTAGTGATTTTGAGAAAGAAGACTATACTTATGAACAGTGAAGCCAGAGCTGAGGCCAAGGTACGAGAAAGATACTTGATTTCTTCCGAATGTAACCATCTTGGTCTAGTACCCAGACACAAGGCCATTACCTTTACAGCCACTACATTATAGGTACCAGCCTATTACATAATCATAAACTTGTGTTAAACACAACGCACGGATGAAGTTACATGTATGTGCAGGGGGATTTTATAAATACAAATTTGATAAAATTGTTAACGGTTTTGAATACACTTCCCTGACTAATGAATAAGTTATGGTGGTCTTATAGAATAATTTAACAGTTTTTAACGCAACATTTTGTTGGCGGGTATTGACGGGGGCAAGTAGGTAAAACAATTAGGGGACGGATTTTCTTTGCTGAATTGGGCAGTACAATGAATAGGGTTTTAGGACTGAATGTGCCAAATAACAGCTGAGAAAGTGGAAATCAAATTTATTAAAAAACAATAATAAATAAAAGCAATTATGAGCAACAATTTCAAAAATGATTAAAAAAAACCCTGCATAACTTTTGGTGTGGAACATCACACAAAAAAAGATCTTTTTGTAAAAACAAAAACTATTTAAGCCCCCCCCCCCAAAAAATTCTGATATATAATCAAACATGCCCCGAGCACATAATTTGTGCTAACTATTGGTTTGGTTCCCTGAGGGAACTTAGTGATTCGCTGTCTCTGTTTCAAGAGGCGCCGTACCATTTCCACTTCATTTGAAAACGAGACATGGCTCTATGTTGACCTTCATTTAGCTAACAGGGAAAGGAAAATTCAGAAAAGCGTAATTTAATGCATTGACAGACAAAAAAACACACAATCACGTCCGATAATTCCTCAGTGAAGGCGAATCGGCGCCACTGTGAATTGATGCATTTCAGAAAAAAAAAATTAAGTACCAAAGTGGGAAACCCCCCCCCCCAACAAAAATAATACTAATAATTAAAAAAAACAAGACTTTATACAAAACAGCTTTAAAAATGAGGTTTCATGATATTTTGGAGTCTGACAAACACAATAAGCATGCACATGTTTCAATTTAAAAAAAACAATTTTGTACAAAGTTTTGTTGAATGAAAAAAAAAAAATGGTAAGTAACCAGATGTTTCTTTAGTGCTGCAGACTGAATTTCACCTCGAAGGCAGCCTTAAAAAAATTACCGATACTTTATATAAAACATTGTCTAGATTCTAACCTGTACCTGTCTATTTTGTTTATGAATACAAAAGATATACAAGGCATTGTTTTAACATGTATGAATTTTGATGATCATGAATATTCAACAGGTTCTATTCTCTATTCAAATTGACCCTTGTGACCTGGATCACAGCGAAACAAACAAAAGGTAGAGAAACAACAAACAGACTTCGCAAAAATTGTAAGAGACGAGACCGAGATTTTGTCAAACCTTCAGTGCGCAATGCCAATACTACATTTGAAGTAATTTCCAAAAACCCTGTTTTTGTGCTACAGTTCAAGTGAGCGAGAATTGATTTTCCTCGAGTTCAAGGATTCTGGAAATTTAACAGGGAGACCGCACGTTGTTTTGAGTGCACAGAAAAATTAGCCAGTACATGTAAAACTTTGCGACGTCCATATTGTTTCGTTCAGTGAACACCGATGCAAATTGTGGTTATTCCTGCTAGCGAAAATGCTCTTCACTTTTTTCTTCTTCTAAAAAAAGAAAAATCTAACATTTTGGCTAGACGACTTGTTAATCAGCGAGACCTTAAATAATCATGCAAAATTAGATTACAACTTTCGTCATTCGTACAAAAAATTGAATTATGAAGTAGTTTCAAAGTTATACTCGTCTTCTGACTTTGTATCAAAAACTGTCCAAAATATATATATCGGTAAAAATAGTTTCAAATGCCTCCCCATCTCATATTTTCACGTGCTAAGGATAAATAATCTTTTTTTTTAACAATTACGATTTCCAAAAAGAGCCACTGTACATAAATGAAGGCATATCTTGTTCAGGGTTATGTTAAATTTCATTTTTTTTACCATTAAGGGAAAATGCATTGCAAACTATCCACAATTTTTAATTTATATTGTAGACTTTTTTGTTTTTCTACGGACTTTCAATAATTTATTATGATACAATGTCACATAGGGCAAACTTTTCATTTACATACATGTACATCATTCGGATGTACTACCCCCCCCCCTAAAAAAACCAACCAAACAAACAAAAAAGCCTCCCAAAAGCCCAAACAAAACAATTACCTTTCGTTTGGGATTTTCAATCTATTCTTGGGGTACACTTGTACAAGATTTTAAGTTCATACACAAGTACGTATGAAGGCACATTTTCGGGTGGGGCGCAGAAAAAAAAGTACCCCCACAACTGTACACATAGAGATCTATCAATAGAGTTTTCTTAACGTTAAAAATCTGTACAGGTTGTGCATAGAGGGATCGTCCTTGGGAAATTGGCGAAAAACACTTTTTTAGAGCAATGCTGTAAAAACTGCTTCTTTATGAAAACCCACAGTACATTTTTGACATTTCCCCCCCCCCCCCCAAATAATAAATAAATTAAAAAAAAAAGGAGCATGTAAGGCAAACTAGACGATTTGAAAACAAAGCTAATATAAATAGGTAAAAAAAAAAACATTTTAAAATAGAAAACGATTATTTCATAAAAATGCAAACTTAAAAAACATTTTTTTCCCCGGATAGTGATAATTTTAACGCTCCCTCTGAATCCAGCATTGCTCAGCCAAAGTTTTTTTTAAACGCGAATTCAACCCAGAAGATTGGTGTTTGGACGTTCTATTCCACTCTATGCACGAAGTATAAGCACCGCAATGTCACAGGACCTTTTGACGACATTCAACTTGTTTTGAGGCACTTGTCATATTTATACTCATATATATTTATATAATATATAATACTATTTAAAAAAACAAACAAAAACAAATTGAAACAAAAAAACAACCAATGAGTCCACTTTCTTGAGAGATTCTCAAATCTCTGGTTGGACACTTGGTTTTTATTGATGGTGGGTGCGAGCAAGCGAGGATACGGCCGGACACCGGCGATCCGAGCACAAAATAGAGAAGGCACTATAATGGGCTGCCGACTAGCGAGGTACCAGCAGATTGTCACAGCCACTACTTGAATAAAAAACGTAGGACCAGTCATGCGGTTCTGCTTTCCTGAGCGATATCCCAAATACGAGGGTAGGCTTGTGAACCGATGTGACGTCATGCTGTCCCGAACTTCATCTCTAGAAACTCTGGTCTGGACTCGAGTTTGGACCCGTACATAAAACCACGCAAGTTAAATTACCGCCCACAAAATATGGTGACGAACACAAAAAACTTGACAATTGGGAAGTTTTAGGTTTTATAGCCACCATATTTCTGATTTATTTCTGGCGAGCCTATGTATTTGCATGAAAGATGGCCACTGAATACAACAAGCTGATATATCAGCTCGACATCATTGTTATAATTTTGTCTGATTTGGGCAATAACACTCGAGTCCAATCGATAACCTTTTTTTTTTCAGTATCGTTTTGGTTTGCGGAAACACCATGTGGTAATAACTACTGCTTAGAAGATATTTAGTTCTGAAAAGAACTTGTCCTGCTTATTATCAACTTTCGCTAAGTAGTTTTTGATAAGAACAGTCCTGCTTTAAGTTCTAAAAGAACTTGTCTTTGGTCTCAACGTTTTTTTCAAGACCATTTCTGCCCCTGTCACAATGGTATAGACAAATCCGGCGGCAGCTATATCTGTGGTGGCGCCAGGCTAGCGCGAGTCGCGCTCGGGGAGTGCGCGCACTCCGGGCTCCTTCGACAACAGAAATACCAAAATGCACGCGCCTTGTCTACAAGAACGCGTACAGCAAGCGTATGAGCGTGACACCACCCAAGTAAAAGCTTCTAATTCTGGTCCCCGGATTCCACTTTACAGAAGTACTGCACACAGTGCCTGTTGTACTGGGAATTCAACAGTCTCAGATCTACCGCCGAACGCAGGCCATTTACGTGCTCTTCTCTATTTTGTGCTGTGTCCCTAGCTGCTCCCCTTCGTCCCCCAGAGATTTTAAGACAAGCAACTCCCATTGTTTATACTCGGCGAGTTTCGTCCCTTCCCAGCATTCTCCCCCAGATCACATTGGCTGCAAGGTGGTGTCAATGTAAGATGTGCATGGTTGTATTAATGGAGAGATGTCAGTCCTTGACCAGCCGGTAGATGTGATGTTGGGCTCCGTGCTCGCTGGTGGAGACCTCAAAGACGTAGGCGATGCATAGTAACGTTTCCTGGGTTTCTCTGTTGGTAACGACCTGTGTGCAAGGCAGGGTTTAGGAGGAACCAGGTTTGAACACCATTTCAAAACAACTTAGTTTTGAGATCTTGCAATTTAAACACGGTAAATATGACATTGTATCAAGTTAGTGTTGTAGCAAGAAGGAACAATTGCACAGGGAGTGGAGTGCCATTATTATCTTTAAACCAAGTAAACTTTTCAATAATAATTTTGTCAATTACTTTTTGGAAAGCTGCAAATGATCTACTCTGCATTTAATTTTAAAACCAAACAAAATTTGGCTCAGTGTTGGAGTCGGCCACTGTTCACTGTATTCATAATAATAATAATAATAATATGGTGCTTATATAGCGCTTATACCAAAGGTCTCAAAGCGCTTCAGAATTATTACCCCTGTTCATCAGGCCATGAGGCCAGTTTCTGCAGCAGCTCGAGACCAGCGCATTCAGGTCTCTACCTTCACAGGTACCCATTTATACTCTTGGGTGGAGAGAGGCAATTGTGGTGAAGTGTCTTGCCCAAGAACACAAGCACCATATTTTCCCGTCAGGGTTCGAACCCACGTACCATGGCACGCGAGTCGAACACTGTAACCATTGGACCACAGCGCTCCACAATTCATCACATTCATCCTTATTTTGTAGACGGAAAACCTCAGGGTTCTGGAAGTCTAGTACCCTATGCCACTCACCTGCAAGATGGTGAAGTTCTCCAGTACACTGTTCATCATGTACTTCTCGGGAAGGTGTTTGAGTTTGTGGATGAAGTTGATCATGTACTCGCACATGGGCGAGGGGTGGATGCGGTAGACAAACCGGCCATTTTCAAACCTCGCATACTCCGTCTGGTAATGGGAGGAGGGATAAGTGAGGCAAATATTCTGAAGTGTGCTTGACAAAGGTTTTATACTTGAGTAGCAAAAATGTGACAAGTTCTTGCAAAATTTGACAGGCAGTTCATGGAGGCCCCCAGATATTGGCTGCATTGTGCTAGCTTTTGTTCAGATATTCCGTCACAGGGCTCTCAAATGGTCTAGTCCATTGACCTGTGTGGTTAGATTAGGTGGGTGATAAGGCATACTGGGTCACCTTGTCAGTGCATGCACACAGAGGTTCAAGATCTCTCCACATAGCACATTGGCACATACAAAATGAAGAATCCTTAAAAAAATTCTGCATCCAGACCCAGATCCGGATCACTTCCAAAATCAAATCGATTTGTACTAGTACCAAGGACCACCGAAAATCCGTCCATAACTTTTTGAGTAATCCTGTTCACAGACAAACCAATCAACAAACAAACCAACGCCGATGAAAACACAACCTCCTTGGCGGAGTTAATTATTCGAAAACGCACAGCTCTAAATCCCTGATGTCAATTTACCTGTTTACGCTTCTCAAACTTAGGCCAAACCAAAATGGTTGTGTTGCCCTCATTCGACCGCTCCAAAAATCTGGAAATTGGGTCAGCTTGAGGAGAGGGGAACTGGTAACCGAATGAAATAGAAGAAAGGGCAGGCCTGTATGTGAACTATGCAAACCCCCAACACACACAAAAAACCACAAAAACTTCCCTACACCAACTGATCCTCCTGATAATTTCATGTGAGGGCAACACAACCAATTTTTTTTGGGCCTTACGTCTGTACAGTGTTTTCTCGATTTGCCAGACCTGAAATAGTTTTATCAGTCAAGAGGTTACGCTTTATCTCTGCACGAACAAATTGCCTGATAACCCAATTTGCAAAGGGCAAGGCAAGCGACCTCTTACCTCAACCTTCTCCACGACCTGCTTGCCGAAGGAACACACTTTGGTTGAGCACATGATTGTCATGTTATCCGGACTCTCGTATCTGTTAACAAAAAGTGAGAGAGACATGGGTATTTTACTAATTGTTTCCAGGAACTTTCCACATTTTTTGGGCGAGGCTCCAGTGTCACCGCCGAAACACGTACCGCCATTATTTTTGTATCATTTTGAAGCTTGGAATCTTAAACTTTATCCCTGGTAAGTACTGGTTTGATTTTCAAAAGGGTTTCGATAATCAATCATGCATATTTTTTCTAATGTGGAAATGCTTCATTATGTTCATGATGTGACGATCTTGTTGCCTTTTACTTTCTGTGTTTCCTATTCTTTTCGATCCACGTAGACTACACCTTAATGAATTCACAATACTGTTCTTTGTTTCAAGTTCAATTGTGAAATTCATGTGCAAGTATGTACCTATTCAAAACGCTCAAAGTGTGACTCGAGTTTGCATCTAATGTACCGCATCATCGATTTTCCTTGAAATCAGTTGTTGGCTTTCGACAGTCCTTTATTTGAACACGAATAATTTTAAAACTCTTTTATACATCAAACCAATACTCGCCAGGGATAAAGTTCAGATTCCAAGCTTTAAAATGGTATAAAAATAATGGCGGTACGTGTTTCCGCGCCGACGCTAGAGCCTCGCAAAAAAAAAAAGATTGCGGGTATTTGGGGACGCGCTGTACACCTAGATACCTTTTAAATTGATCAACCTTCAGGGAAAAATGCTTCATAAGTAAACCTCACAATGACATCACGAATACCACCAATCATAGATGAACAATACATGAATAGATTTCTCAATATGTGTTTTTGGATGGGGGAATTTTTGCTTTTTTCCCCTGAAAATTATTCAGGAAGCTTCACTTACTGGCTTGTGACACCATAGAATGCACCCGTTTCCTCTGAAAGATTTGTGTTCAGATCCGCCTGGTAAAGAAAGACAAAATCACGGGTCAAAACACTTGCTACTTAAACAGTCAGAAAACCGATGACAAAGAATAACATCTTTAACTGATAGAAAGGCCACTGACCGGTCAAAATTCAAATGCTCAGATCCTTAGGATCCGGGCCAAGCAATATTATATACACCAAGTGTTGGGGAACTTACCCAGAACTTGACAAGAAAGAATGCCTCCGGCGGACCCTTGTCGTACAGCTCCTTCAGACCTCCTTTCTTCTCTGGGAATTTGTCGTAGATCTGACGGACGTCTACTGCCTATGAACAAGATTGCAAACGAACTCTGCTTTTAGAAAATGCCCATTTAAATCTGATGTTAGCTTTGAACCACAAAATCTTTACCGACTTTTAAAAACATTTCATTAATACCCGAGACAGTTTACCCATTCCCATTGGTTGAGAACCCGTCACGTAGTCGGTCTTAAACGGATCATAAAGACATGGCTGGCTGGCTGGTCTTAAACACTTTTCCAGTGTCGCATGAGATTTGGACTCCTATGAAATCCGGTGCCTTTTACCGTTTTATTGGTTGAATGTTCACAATCCTCACGTAGGCATGCACAATACTACCAGTGAGTCAGTATTTCATAGTCCTAAATTCACGTCATCGCGCAGTACGCGCGTGCCAATCTCCACCAAAAGGATTATTTTACGTCTTACTCGCAAACTGGACACTCCATTATATAGAAAGAGGGGTGTTTCGAAAACAGAAAGTATTTTCTGAACAAAATCGTTAAATTTTGAATTTTTTACTTGTTTTGACTTTTAGAACAAAAGGTTTTGAGTTTTTGACCGAAAAGGTATTTATGAATGGGAATAAGCTTTGGTCGGTATTAAACACAATGTTTAAGACTGGTTGGAGTCTGGACTCCAACCAGTCGTAAACATAGCGTTTAACACCTCCCAAGCACACATTTATTACCTTATTAATGAGGTGAGGTTTTTTGACAATATACATACCTCAAGCGGAGGATCTGAGTAGCTGACGTTTGAGCCAAGGTGAACGAAGAGATGTTTGTTGTACTGTAGTGATTAAGATAAAAATTACAAAGAAATTGTAATCAGTAAACTTTTGATAAGGGAGAGGTACTTACACTAATGCAGGTCTCAATTAGTTCTCTGAAATATAAAACCGACATAAAAAAACTAAAAACTAGAAAGTACAAGTCACTGCTTCTACAGTTTTCACAGAAGAAAGCACTCAGAGAGCGCAAACCTCTGCCAAGGCTTAAAGGGAATATACATCATTTGCTTTTGCTGTAATTTTCAGAAATGGATGGAATTGGGGGGTTGGAAATATATAGCAAATATAGTTACACTGACTTTTTTGAGGTTTTGGGTTCAAAAATGCTATAAAAACCAAGAAAAACAATCATTTTCCTGTAGTCTGGTTCCCTGACTCCATATAAGAAGAAACAGAGCAGTTTACATACATTGGGAATTGTAAGGTCAGGGAACCAGTCTAGCTGGCTCGTACCCGTTCATAGGTTTGTAATCGATTGCAAACAAGTGCGATGGTCAATTGGGGCCAGTATTTGAAAAAAAGCCATTTTTTTCCAACGCTCATCAACCGATGAGCGTTGGAAATTGATACAAAAATACCACTTTTCTTGAAAATGACAGTATACCAGGTGCCATGATTTTACAGGATGCTTTACACTGTCATTCACTAACAGTCCAGCAAGGTATTTCAAAATGGTTTGGTAGTTTTATTTTTTGATGTTTGCAAATGTTGTATTTTCCCTTTAACAATTCCCCGCCATATTGTGCCGATGTGGGACCCTTCGGTGCAGCGTGAGAAATACCCGGATGGGAAACAACCAAGGCGCGCTGACCGCGAGTGTTGGAGGGCGCCATCTATTGACATGCTTGTCAGGACACCCAAAAGATATACTCGCATAAATGGTGCAGAATCATTTAAAAAAAATCCTGGATCCAGACCCAGATCCGGATCCAGGGGTGAGATTGGGAGAAATTGAAATATCCACGAAATAATCCATAATTTGAGGGTCGCCGAGGGCCCAGAGCAACGAAGGGTCTATGGAATATGCTTGTACAACTTTGCCTTAACCCTAACCCCCTAGGCCCTTGTTGCTTACAACCATCCTCAATCCTCCAAAATCCTCCAAAATTTTGCAACTCCGCCTAAATTTTTCAAAATTGTCAGACAGTCCTGCCTCAAAATGCATTCATCCTCAATCCTCCGAAATCCTCTTGTGCTTCAATCACCATTCATCCTCAATCCTCTAGAATCCTCCAAAACCGCCAGGAGGATTTTGGAGGAGTGAGGTGGGTTAGGGTTAAGACACCCCTAAAACCAATTTCTTTTGTTCTATATACCTTGATAGGTAAAAACAGGCTTACAGAAAAACCTCTGGAATTCCAAAGGGATTCTTTAAAAAATCCTGAAATCACAAAAACTTACTAAAAAAAGTCTTGAAATCGGGATAAATCCTGACAAAATATCCACAAATCAGGAAAAATCCTGACAAGAAAATCCTGAAATCAGGACAAATCCTGACAAATCTCACCCCTGCAGATCACTTCCACAATCTAATGGATTTCTACTTGTACCACCGACCACCCCTGCAAAAATGTTTTATGCAAATCTGTCCATAACTTTTTGAGTTATCTTGTTCAAAGACAAACCAACCAACACAATGAAAACATAATCCAATACTAAATTATTAAACAAATGTACAGTACTACAGGGAAATTACAATTAATTACTGAACCGATCAAGAAGTTAAACAAAAATGGAATACAAACCTCATTTACGCTTTCAGGGTCTCGCTGCAACTCCAGGAAGGCCTGGAATTCCACCAACCTCAGCTTGCGGGTACCGATGGACCGGCCTTCCCAGGCCGGGGGGCCGCCGGGCGTCATTCCGGCCGCGTAGTCCCCGCCGGGTGCATAGGCTTGAGCTGTCGCTGAGAACGGCTTGACGCTGGCAACAGAGACGGGGGAAATGCTAAGAGAGTTGTTAATCGGGAGCTGTACATGTGTGGCAAGGGTGGCTGAGCTGAGATGGGGGGAGGGGGGAGGGGGAGAAGAGGGTGAGTAGGTAGGGGAGAAGTTGCACAAGTAGCGCCAAAAAAAGGAAGGAACAATTAAACAGTTTGAAATCATTTCATCCAAAGATTTGAAAATGTTTCGATCATCTTAAATGGGGAACCGCAAACATAGGGCTGGATAGCTCAGTGGGTGAGGCACCGGAACAGCCATTTGAAGGTCGCAGGTTCGAACCCCGTTCCAGTCAGTTTCTTTGTTCATCTTTTATATCCAAAAAGTGATGAGTTGTTTTGATTCCATCGTTATGGTCTTGTCGTGGTTCAAGTTTTTTTTTTTTTTTTTTTTTTTAAAGCTGGAACTCCTGGGAAGGTGTACACAAGGGATTGGAACAATTGACGGAAATCAACTTACTCTTGTGAGGTACCTGCTTGCGTCAGGCCGGGCTGCCATAGTTGCTGTAGATCAAGACAGAAATAAAAGTAATATAAATTATATTAATTGGTCATTGTTTTGACACTCATGTGTTTAGAAACAAAGAAATACCCAAATTTATGACGAATTTGTAAGAGTTGAGCACATTTCAACTTTGGCGAATTTTGCAGTGAATGCTTCGTAATGTGAAATTCGCATTCTCATGAAGTATGTACTGGCCTTGTAGGGTTATAATACATCAGCATTCAGCAAGACTCACGTGTGCAGGATACGGCGGGCGCAGTGGGGTAGTGCCAGGGATACCCAGGCCCGCGATACCCATGGCGGCAGCTTTGTTGTGAATGGCCGTAGCGGAGACAATCTGGGCCGAGGACATAGCCGCCATACTCTGCAGGGCTTTGTCCTTGGTGTTCTGGTCCTGCTGGTGTGGAGTGAAACACAAACAGGGGGGGGGGGGGGCAAGGAACAGAAGGAGTGAATGAAGAAGAAAGACGCAGAAGAAAGACAGAAAGAAAAACATAGAAATGTTGTAAAATTAATTAGGCATTTGCTTAAAATGGTTTCATGAGTGTTTGAAATCCTGATGTTTACCCTAAAATCATAGACCATAGGCCCTACATGTACATGTTTGTTGTGAAAAGTTTGGGGTGAATGCATCAAGTCGTCAGCGTTTTCATGAAGGGACGAATTGGGCCAGGGGGTGTTGGACAGTGGTTTTGAGATAAACAGGTTTTAAGTTTGTCACTTTTTGAAATAAAGATTTTGCCGATTTTTGGAGTACATGCCGACTACTTTTTGATACAGATAAGTAAGCTGAGATCATAAATTTCAAATATGTACCAATTCCAGTATAATAGAACAATTAATTGCGGAGTAATTAATCTCCATAGAGATTTGTCTGTTCGTGAAAACTCAAAATCCCACACGCCTGTTGTATTGGCAAATTGCGAAAAAACCCATTGCCCATACCCATTGCGCGAATTCGTCTTTTCTTGAAAACTCAAATACATTCAGGTGAAATATTCCCTACATTGATTGTCATGATTTTATTGATTTAAACTGATTTTGACCAAAAGAACTTCACCGAAATGCTCGTTGCTGTTCACTCAACCGAATTTGGCCGGAAAAAGAATTTTTTGGGGGGCCTAATTCGCCTCTTCGTGAAAACGCTGACAAAGTGTCCATCATCAATACTAGTAGTGGGATTTAAATCTGCATCCTTCTTAAGTCGGTTTGAATTCCAATATTCTGTTTCGATTTTTAGAAACATGATTGAAGGCTGAAGAAAACGACTGAAACATCCCCTTATTTGCTCCATGGTCTCTGATTGTAACTGCATTCACTTGCTAGTGGTCTTCTTGGTATATGAATAGCCTGCTCATTTGACATATCAGAGAGTTCCCACCCATTCTTTTTTCAACATTACAGTTCTGGAGTGTTTCTGTAAAGGCCAGTGGTCATTGAATCCTGCAAACTATACCCAGTCATTGGGAGAGCATTGCATGCGGCACCTCACTTGTCATTTTTTTGTTGGCGTAACTGTAAGCTTAATGGGAACTTCCAGTAAAATCAGATAACCGTTATTTGGTTTGAAAACAATTAGGATTAACCAATACAAAAATGGTTAATGTTGATTATCAGAATTAACACCGGTGGGGTGCATGACTTGTTGCCTGGCTACAGTCATGTCTTCTTTTCATTGGATTAGCATGCCAATTAATAGAAAATTCGGAAACTCTTTAAATGTAAAATGAAAGTAATGATCAAAATTACACACGGATGCAAAGGTACCAGCCACATGTACTTTTCTAAAAGGAAAAGTTAGATTCATAAGAAAAAAAAATAATGAAGGAGGGGGTGGTATCTAACTTTGAAAAAAAAATTGTACAAATTTATACAAAACAAGCCCGTTCGGTATTCAAACTGCGCATGTGCAGAGCATGATCTGACAATTTTCCTTTGGGATAAACAATTTGCTGTATGCATGTAAAAATCACAGCCAGGAACTTTGAGTAAGGACAGCGAAGTGTTTTGTATGCCTCAACTTTTGTTGAGTTTCCAATTGTCTTTTTGATTGCATAATTTTTGGGGGAAAAATACATATTCGGTTACCATATCCCCCATAGACTTTCATGTATGTGTATTCATCTAATACTTACTGCGAAGTAAAAAAAAAAGTCAAATCTTGTTATGCACAGAGTATGCACAGATGGAATACCCATTTGGCTTATTATAAGAACAAACACAGGCCTGAACGTTACCGAATGCTTTCCACTAAACAAATAAAACATTAAATTCTAACATTTTCTGTACTGTAAATTTCTTTTTAACAAGGGAATAAATGTGTGCGCTCGAGGTTTTAATCACTCTGTTTAAGACCGCTTAGAGTCTGGGTGCTGATAATTACCCGAGCCGGAGGCGAGGATAATTATCAGCACCCAGACTCTAAGCAGTCTTAAACAGAGTGATTAATACCGACCGAGCACATAGCTATTCCCATTCATAAATACCTTTTTGTTAAAAAAAATCCAAGGAATTCGTTCAAAAAATCCCGATTTTGATCGACAAGTTCACTCCAGCTTTTTGAAACATCCCTCTAGCAAAATGATGTCGCGCAGAACGCACCCGGGGTGTTGCGTTTTGAATTTAGAACTATAAAATTCTGACTCACTGGTAGTGTTGCACATGCCTACATGAGGATTGTGATCGTTCAACCAATGAAACGGTAAGAGGCACTGGATTTTTAGGAGTCCACATTTTATTGTGACACTGGAAAAGTGTTTAAGACCAGCTAGCCATGTCTTTATCATCCGTTTAAGACCGGCAACATGACGGGCTCTCGACCAATAGGAATGGCTAAACTGTCCGAGGTATTTATGAATGAAGATTTCAATAGGTTGTTTTACGGAGAAGAAAACGGAATTGTGGAATGACGTTCCCTATTGTTCTGTTGGAGAAATCTTGTTTCATGCACACGGCAAACTGGTATCAATCCCAAACAACAGAGACACCTCTACCTGCAGGAAAACCATTTCCTACAAATTACAACACATGAATTAGTATAGAAAACTACTGTACAATGAACCAGCGTGCGTTTCTCCGTCGAGAAGAACGTGACCCCTATCTGTTGAGTTCAAAAGGCTGGTTTAACTATAACGCATTCAGAACATCATGCCGGACAATTTCTATATTGGCCACATTCGATATTGAATTAATACAGGTACACACAGTTTACCGAGTTTAGAGCAGGCGTGGGTAGCAAAGACGGCAGAGGGCTTGTTTTTTTTACTTACAAGAGCGAAAAAAGATTCCTGATCAAGGTAAGAACGGGGATAGCAAGAGTCCGAAGGCTGGCCCTTTTGTGAGAGAGGAGAAAGCAGATGTAAGGGTGTGTTGTTGAGAATGGCGATGGGGTTAAGGGCGGGGTGGGAGGGGTGGAGGATGGGGTAATTGCAGAGAAAATGTAGACAGGAGCATTCAGAGGTCCATTTACAATAAATATCTGAGTTTGGTTCCAATTGGACTTCAACTTTTGAAATAAGACCAAGTTTTCGAAACTTTAAAATACCACATACATACGGACATACATGTACTGTACATACGGTACATACATACGGACAGACACAGTGATTGCATGGTCTCTTTTAACTTCGTTCAGGTGAGACAAAAAGTGGCTTATAGACAAAAGGGAAAATAGGGAAAAGCTGGTAGGATGAGGGAAAATCAAATCGCAGGTTGTCAGAGAAAGAGAAAAAGAAAGAGTGAATGGATCAGGGCTTTGCAAAGATGAAAGAAACAGAAATATGACAACAAAAATCAGCACTTTGAAAGGTAACTTCAATGACTGATAGATTGAAAGAATGGTAAAACTGACAGTTGCTGAAAATAGTCCGTATGGGTGAGACCAAGCGAGATGGGGATAGGACTGCATCGTCAAGGGAGAACTTCACTGTCAAAGTCAGAGTAATGGGTCATAGAACCAAAAAGAAAGAAAAGTAAATGGTTGGCGCAAATGCTCTTCAACTTGGTCTGTTTGTCACAGCATGACAGCCCTAAATCTGAAAAAAGCATATATGCAGATTGTAAAAAAGTTTAAGTAATGAATTTTTAATGTGGCTGGTACCAATGCATAAAATAATTGAGCCCTTTTGTCCCCCCCCCCCCTCGGCACAGCCTCAGCCAGCGACAGCCCCCCCCCCCTCCCTTCCCCCCTCCTGCAAGAAACCTCTCTGGATCCGCCCTTGAGCATCTCTTGAGAAAATGAACACATAAAAGCTCACTGCCAGTTTCTTTGGTGTCCTAATTAGTGCATATTCATCGCAATACACCTAGATGCATGAAAGCGTGGCAGGTATGCAAACGTGGTGTCCTGCACACTGGAGCTTTCATTTGTACATGTAGGTCAACGTACTGCTCATACTCAAAGAGCCATATTGTACAGCATAACTGCAGATCGATACCCTTGATAGGTTTCGCGTGCCCCAAGCCCTGCTTGCGTCCCCGACTGTGGCTTGATACATGAAAGGGTGGCAGGTGCGCAAGCCGTACATATACACATGGTGTCGTGCACAAGTTTGTAGGTTACAGAGTGCCATCAAAACGCACTGTTCATGCTACAAGAGTCCATTGCACGGCATGACTGCAGATCGATACCCATGACAAGTTTCACGTGCCCCGAGCCATGCTCGCGTCCCCTGATTGTGGCTTACATGAAAGGGTGGCAGGTGCGCAAACCACACAGTTACACTTGGTGTCCTGCACAAGTTTATAAGTCACACAGCGCCATCTACACGTACTATTCATACTCAAGAGTCCATTGCGCAGCATGACTGCAGATCAATACCCATGACAAGTTTCACGTGCCCCAAGCCCTGCTCGCGTCCCCTGATTGTGGCTTACATGAAAGGGTGGCAGGTGCGCAAACCACACATGTACGCATGGTGTCCTGCACAAGTTTGTTGGTCACACAGCGCCATCTACTTGTCATACTCAAGAGTCCATTGCACGGCATGACTGCAGATCGATACCCATGACAAGTTTCATGTGCCCCAAGCCCTGCTCGCGTCCACTGATTGTGGCTTACATGAAAGGGGGGCAGGTGTGCAAACCACACATGTACACATGGTGTCCTGCACAAGTTTGTTGGTCACACAGCGCCATCTACTTGTCATACTCAAGAGTCCATTGCACGGCATGACTGCAGATCGATACCCATGACAAGTTTCACGTGCCCCGAGCCCTGCTTGCATCCCCTGATTGTGGCTTACATGAAACGGTGGCAGGTGCGCGACCCACATATGTACATGTGGCGTCCTACACGCTGGAGCTGTCATTTGTAGGTCACACAGCGCCATTTACACATACTGTTCATACTCAAAGAGTGCATGACTGCAGATCGATACCCGTGACAAGTTTCACGTGCCCCGAGCCCTGCTCGCGTCCCCCGACTGTGGCTTAACACAAAGGGCCTCAGATCCTACCTTAAACTGCTTGGCGATATCCCTGGACGATCGCTTGGCGAGCACCTGCATGTGACTAGACACCTGCTCAGGCACAAAACACATTGGGTTGGAGGTGAAAAGAAAAACATAAGGGGAAAGAGGCCCAGAACGAGCCTGGTTAATATTTCTATGAAGGCCCTACCTTGCATAATGACTGCAGTTCCCTGGACTTTCTCCGAGCTAACACCTGAATGTGACTTGACACCTGTGGGTAATGTACAGACACACACACACGGATGGAGTCAGCAGATCCCGCACTCCCGTTTTTCCTTTACTACAGTTGGGACATTTTGTAGGACAATTTGCTTTCATATTTTTGGTCATTTGGCAACTGAATTTCAGTGGTACATGTAGGAAAAGACAAATAAAATACAATTTGGTTTTCATTCCAAGTGTTTTTAGAGTGGCTGATTAATCCACAAGTAATTTCTGTTCAACAGAAGTTGGATTATGCCCAAAGAAGTAAGGTCCGTAACAATCACGTGCTGGTGCATGGATAGTTCGTATTTTGTTCAAGAAGTCGTTTTGATAATTTGTTACACATGCACCCAGTATATACAAACTCAGTGAAACTAATTCAACGAGACACATTGCTTTGAATTTTTCTGTGTCTATTATTTCAGTGTGTTAAACTAAAAGTGCACACTGGATGCGGAAAAGTGCCATGCACTTTCTGTAGTTATTATTAACAATATTTGTTGCTTCTTATTTCTGAGTTAAAAAAAAAAAAGTTATGAACTATTCTATACCAGGCATTCGATGTTTAAGACGTACTCATGCTTTGGCAGACAATTTCTGTTTTCTTGTTTTAGTTTGATAATAAAAACGAGTCAAAAACACAAAAAAAGTAATCATGCTGCGTAAATAGAGACATGGAGTGAGGCAAGACGGTGTGCATCGTAAGTGCTACCGTGATGAAATGTAACACAGACAGGCAAAATAAATCACAACAACAAAACTTTGTATCATGAATGGGAGAGGGGAGGCGCTTTCGTTCTGTTTGTGAAAATCAAAAGGCAGCTGTTCTCATTGGTAACTAGTTCTTGAAGGATATCAGGCACAAAATGCAGGTGTTAGCTCGGAGAGGAAACAATGCTAAATGAAAACAAAATTAAAAACAGATGAACTTGCCATGCTTATATTACTTGTTTTGGTTTTGCAACTTGGACCAGATCATGTGCCTCTGAATGTTCCGATTATTAACCAGTTCGCGCTGGGCGCCGTGTACACACGCAAAAGGTTTTGCGGTATTCGGAATGGATGACGGATAAACACGGAACGAGTGAGGCCGGGCACATCTGTCAGCGAGCGAGGCCGGAAATAACAGGTTGTGCTACCCGCAGATGACGGCCTGAACCCGTCTGGCGTCAAGGTTTGTGAAAAACAATCCCGCGCCTGGGTCCGGTCAATGTCTCAAAATATTCCCGGCGCAAACTGGTTAAACAATCCCCAATTTTGTTTAGGTGTGTGCATCGGTACCCGACCGCTGATGTCAGGAACCAGTTCCAGATTATAGGATTGGGTACCCGTAACCAACTTTACAAAGTACCTAGTAATTTCTCAGACAATGAAAAAAAGAAGGGTTTGCATGTCACTTGTGGGGAATTTTCAAAATGAAAACCAGGCTACATGGAAAACCAAAACGAATTTCATGTTTTTGTGCATTTTAATGCGCGACAGATGACGCTAGCGAAAGTTGCAGTTTAAACCATTCAGGCACCTTTAGTTTTGATAAGACAATCTTTTACGGATACCCGTGTACCCGTGTTTTACTTCAGAAGGGTACCCTGTTCCGGTACTACCCGTAAATGCACAACACTAGTTTTGTTGGAAGGAACTTGTTTTCTAGTCCGCTAAATCGCTGTAAGAACACTGAAGCTGAACGGATGTATTCAAAGACACATGAAATGGTCAAATTCAAAATTAAAAACTAAAACGTAAAAGGAAAATTAACACAGACAAAAATATGACGCTTTGAACATAAAAACTTGCATACATTTTCAAGCAACATTAAAAATTATAAAGGTTTGATTGCCCAAAGTATGTTTCAACAAAAACATATTTTTTAGAAAACTGTGCAAACAATATAGTCTTCTTGAACTTGTTTTCTTCCAGAGAAAACACCAGTTTGGTTAAAATATTAACATAACACATGCAAGAATAAACGATAAACATGTATATAACAACATATAGCAGCAGAGAAAGGACAAAATTGCAAGGAAAAGAAAACAGAGATACATGTAAAAGGAAAGAAAGTAACATTTTCATGGCTGCACAGGAGATTTTTGCACAATTTGAACTTCTAACTCAAAGGCAGAACTGTCTGTTTTCTTCCAAGGCATTTGCGTAATATTGATAATGGTTCTCCCTACTGTCAACAACAGTATTTTGCCTATTCAATGAAAAAAAAAATAACCTTTTTGAGAAGATGCTGTGTACTATGATATAAGCACCGTCGATATCATAATTTTCAATCATCGATATATCATAATTCCAATATCGAGAATATTTGATATATATCGATTATCCCATGTAAAAGTTAAAGAAAGTGTGGAAAAATTACAGAAAGGGCCTTCAAGCCCCCAAAATGTCCCCATTTTCCAATGGCTTTCTCTGCAGCATATTGCTCAACTTTTAAAACAAATCTCAGCACTGAGAGTTTGTCCATACGGGCGGTTTCTTTTGACGTGCTTCATTAGCTAAATAACGAATTCCAGCAAACGCAGAGCACATAGCGAGGCCGCTTGGCATTTCCTGATGTTTCTATTTTCAGTCACAAGCACAAGTTACCTGACAAGTTTTATTGCATTATACAGCGAAGTTTTATAAACACAAAGTACAAGCACAAACGGATGATATATTTTGATGATAATCTGACTCATTTTCGGTATTTTTGACGTCATATCTCAATATCGACGTTTTCGAAATTTCGATATGATAAAAAATTGCTATCGGCGATATCGATATCAAAATAATATTGAACAATTGAGTAATATCGATATATCGACGGTGCTTATGATGATAATCGAAGCATCATGTAAATACGTTTTTGGTATTGTTTTCAAAGAGGTTTTAACAAATTTTCCTGTTTTTTTTTTTTAAATACCAGATCATTATTGTCCGGTGGCCTTTAATTGGTATTAAGGAACAGGTGGAAACAGGTGCGAATGAAAATCAAAGGAGGACATGAACCTTTGCTGTCAGGTACCACCATAAGGAGCACATCAAACCCCTACTGAGATAGGACAGGTGGTGGGAGTCAGCCCAGGTCAGCTCGGCCTATTTATAGAGTTTTACTTCAGATGGTAATATACAGCTCTTTATAATTCCCAACTTTGTCATACCAGAACTCCCATACATTATTCATGATGTAATTTTTTTTTTCACAGAAGGAAAATAAAGATTTGTATCATAAAAAAAGTGTCTCGGGAGGTTACCCTCTTTCTATTAATTTTTTTTTTCCCATTAAAAATTCCTTTCGACACTTTTTTGTAGTATTATTGGAATACGACAGACAATGAAAGTAAACACATAAACAGTATGTTAGACAGTACAGAGTGCAGAGAATAGAGAAAGGAGAGCTCTGAAATACAGCAAGAGAGAAATTTGTGCCATTTGGCCCAACATGATGATATTGGCCACGGCTTCAGTTTCTGACCAGTGACCTCCTACAGTATGTCCCCCCAAAAAAGTGTCCGTCTAACTATTTTTGAAATAACAACAAAACCATGCAGCCAATTTTGAAACCTTTTTGATTGTGCAGATACTTATTAATTATCCTTGGCCTAAACCCTTTTGAGTTTTATTTAATTTCATTCACGCATCACTGCAAAATTTTTGGACACTGTGACCAAGTTCCTTGCCTTAATCAATTTCAGTGCTGTGTTATGTAAGCTGTGTGAAAATAAATGCTGCATGTTGTGAAAAAAAAACTGATGTGGTTTAGGATTGGAATCATTTGCCCTTGAGGTCTTACCATGACTGATAGCCAGGCAAATGATTCCAATCCCAACCGCAGCCCTTTTCACAACATGCAGAATTTTACACAGCTTACATAACACAGCACTGAAATTCATTAGACTAAAATTAAGGCAAGGAACTTGGTCACAGGGTTAAAAAATGTTGTTGTGATCAATTGACAATTGTGTAGTGATGCATGACTGAAATTCAATGAAACTCATAGGGGTTTAGGCCAATATGAGGAGTAGCTGCACAATCCAAATATGTCAAAATTGGATTCATGGTTTTGTAGTTATTTCGAAAAAAGTCAGGCGGACGCTTTTTTGGGGACATGCTGTATACTGAGTCGATCTGAAGCCACAGGCAAAAATGCATCATGTACGTACTCTGTGTATGCAGAGCCAGTCTTACCTGCTTTCGTGTTCTTGTTTTTCCTGTTCTGAGCTTAATATACCTTGCGATGAGTTCGTTGCGACCTATTTACCAAAAAATTAAAAATGAAAACAAAAACTGAAATGCATGCATACCACATCACAAAATGCTTGTACAGGGCGAGTCCGAATGATCTGGACCCAAATAAAAGAAAATATTAAAAATATGTAGCAATTATCAAAACAAACTGCAAATGAGATATGTTACTTGTATCGGCTGGTATTTTGGACATATTTGGTGAAGGTTTAATATATTTCAAACAATGCAGTCACATCAGTACGCAATTTCAATAAATTTGTTGAACCATGGAACCGTGGTCAGAGTGTTTTTTAGCGTGTGCTCTTTGCTAGCACTTTTCCTCTAAATGGTATAATGGATATACATGAAACTTGCACCAAATATGTCCAAAATACCAGCCTATAACATATCTCATTTGCACTTGTTTCGATAATTGCTACATATTTTTAAATATTTTCTTTAATTTGGGTCCAGATCATTCCTATGCTTTGAAGTTCTATAGTGTGGATCAAATTTCATATTCCCACGTCATATTTTGCCATGAAAAGATGAGGTATTCCAAACAAAGGTTGTTTATAATGTAAACCTGGCTCAACCCTGCATGATAAGAAGAAAGTTGTGAATAATTCAAGCTGTGCTATCTACTGGTATTATTATATTCGGACTTGGTGGTCCGCAAGATAATGCCACTCATAAAACATTAGAATCCTCACAAACTCGCCTGTCGCCGAACAAAAAAAAAAAGCTGTCGAGTGGGTATTGTATCCAATTCTCCCGTGTTGGTGGAAAAGTGTCAACACAAGTCCACAATGCTATCTGGGCTTGCTTTTGTACTGGCTACCCGTAATATTTGGTGCCAAGTTTTTGATCTGTTCGCCGTACAATGACAGGATTGTACACAATGCCTACGTCCATGTAACATGAGTCTTTGACATCACTTCAACAATGAGAGCTATCATTTGTGCTTATATACCAAGTAACCGTAACTGCTAAACTGAAATGCCATTGTGGCCGACAGCCTCATTTTTCGACCTTCTGTTTCTTCCCAAATCCTCCAAAATCCTCTTTGCAAAATGGAGGATTTTGCAGGATTGAGGCTACATGGCCAAAGTGTGTGGCTGATTTTGGAGGATGCACTGTGTCAAGGTCTTAGGCCAGACTTTGTGTAATTGTATATGCTCAGCCGTGAATAAATTTAGATCTACATTATACTTGAAATGCTCCAGGGAGGGGGTGGGGATGGGGTGGGGGTGGGGAGATGGGGTGGGGGGGGGGGGGAGAGGATAACCCACCGCAAAGCACCCTTGTTACAATGGTTGTGGGAAAAGAAATTGGCATCACTGATCTCATTAAAGTATCCATCACAAACAGTAGACAAGCATATAATTTATGACACTGCAACCTCATTACCCACAGAACTATCAGTGAAATTGTCAGAATAACTAATGGTACCTTACACAAACACTGACATGGTTAATTGATGGGTCAATCAAGCATGAGGCAACTAACCACCGTGGAGGAACGATTTCGGAGCTAATTATCAAATTTTGTTTTTGACTGTCACTATAGTGATAAGGTTAATGAAAATTGGGTGCACATGTATAATTGTGTGACTAGTGGATATGGGATAAAACCGGTTACCCCTTAAGCACTTGTATTACATTGTACTACACTATATTCATTCCTTGATAAACCCAAAATCACTGCCTGCCGGGGCGGTTTGGGGCAGTAGCGGGAGTAACAGGCAGGGCGCGTTTGGGCGGCAGGACCAAGGGGATTAACTAACGGGTTAAATACATGTAAGATGTCAAGGAACGCACAACTTCTGCATCTTGTTGGATAGAGTTATACACTGCTATGTACATGTACATGTACATGTACATGCTTGCATATATGTACACAAGTTCATGTGAAGGATGCACGTACACATATATGGAATGCAACATCCAGTTTAATAATTGCATGTTACGCTTGACACACATTCACAGCAAATCACACGCTGCATTGGATGCGTGTATATGGACTGCCTAAGCATACAGTGAACAAATGCTCCACACATGTAAATGCTATGTTCACACTCCCATATCTTTGTATAGCTTCAACATAAAAAAACAGACTAAATTTCCATTTTACATTCAATAATATGAATTAAATCAAGCACACGGTAATCGTTAATTGGTTTATCCTAAAACTCTGGAATGACCCCTGATTTTTTTTTTCTGCCATAATGGTCGTTTACAATGGTTGTGCTGGTTCTTGTGAATAATAATTTCCATTTCACATTTAAAATATGAAATTGTTGCGCAAATATGAATCACGTTAAATCAGGCAAAGGTACATGTAATAGTTAACTGATTTATCCTGAAACTGGTTTACTTTAAAAAATAAAAAAAATAAAAAAAATTGTTGCGCATTTTTCTGCCATAATGATTGTTTGGAGTGGTTGTCATGGTTGCTGTCATTCATCGTCTGCAAACCACCCTATTTAAAAGACTTTTCGTTGGTGGTTGAATGATGCATCGCTGCACACACACAGGCCAAATTAACTGTGTGGCTCTTGCCCGACCCAGATCTGTTTTGTTCAATCACAGGGTAGAATGGTCATTTTTTTTTAGCTCAACTCCCAGAGGCCGAGGCGCGAGTGCCTGGTTAATCACGGCGTAGTTGTGTGTGCAGCAGTACGCTGACATGTTTGGACGAGAATTCGTCCTAGGGAGTCACAACCATCTTTTTCTGTTACTGTCAAAAACAAGTTGAGAAGTCAAATCTAAATATATGTGGCTTAAACTTTAACCCTCCTGCTGTCTGAAAAGTCACAGACAGTCAAAAATAATTAATCCTCTTCCCCTGCCATGCCTTTTACACAGGCTAGTCACCAACAGCCAGATCATATTTCAAGCAAGCACTGTGACTAGTCAAACTCAGTCAACAGACGAAAGTAGAAATGGGATAGGCACAGCTGGTTTATCAATCACCTACAGTCAAAGTACAGCTGTATCAAGTTGCATAAACAGTCACAGCCAGTCAATCCTGCTTTATGCAAGCTGGGAGCTCTGAACTGTTGAAAACAGTCACTTGATTGACTTTGACTGAAAGGTCAACTTGGCACAGAATGTATGTTTGCATAGGAGGGTTAGTGTCAGAGTGATCTTGGTACAAGCCCTATTTTGTCACAAATGACGTTAATACTATTGAGACTGTTATAAATGACCGTCATATAATCCGAAAATCACTCAAACCATTAATGACTCATTATTAAAACCCGAGCATGGAACACGAGATATATGTGTCTCTGATGATGCCAGACTTTGTGCCTGAGCGAATTGCTTTTAACTTCCATTTCATGGCGCAACTCAAGTGTGACTGAGTGGAGGCTTCCCAGTAATATACAAAAAAAAAAAAAAACTTCACCGCAAATAACCCCCTAGAACTACTGCAATCAACGAGGGACTATGCACACAAATAACGAACCACAGATCGCCTCGCCAGTCACCCGGGAATGAAATGAAAATAGAGATTTATTAACTGTCACCTTATAAGGCAAGATGAGTTTGCCCTCATCTCCAGGGTCTGACACGCTATAACCAGTGTGCCGAACAAACCCCCCCCCCCCCCCCTCAAAAAACAACAACATACATCAGGCTCGGGTTCAGGCAAAGACCAGCCCAAGAGGATTCCACTGAAAAAACTGCACATTGATTTCTCGTGTATTGGTGTTATTACATTTCCTGTATCAAAGAGCACGATCGTGTTTCCGTGAGGCCCGCAAAACAAATTAATATATGCTTGACTGAAATCCGTGGGCCAGGCGGTGGCGTTAAGTTCACACATCATGCTTCAATGTAATGAACTACACCTTCATTACTGCTACTACTTGTTATCTGTCAGCACACGAACAGATTGATAAACTCGTAGTCATACACGCGTAATTTTTTTCGGTCTCATGTTCTGTGGACACAAAACGTTACCGATATTCTGTTGCATCGGATACTCGTGTGAATGCACCCCCCCCCCCTCAAACGCTCTTCACACTTTTCGAACCGAAACCGGCAAAGTGTACCCACTAGTCAACTCTCAGGTACTTTTGGCCGAGGATGTTCTCCACCCGCCACGCATGACCTAATTTCATAGGAGTATCCGCATCCCAGGGGAAGTCACAGATACATGTACACAGTGCATCAATATATCGGCTGTTATTTCCCCCACCAAAATCAACCAAGGGTAACAAGATCGTCCGAGTCCCATGGCTCCCCTATTCCTTAGGTGTTTGCAACTGGAAACTGGAAAAATTATGGGGCTTTTTTCGGACGCTGATAAACTGAAGGCCTATATGACAAATGGGGTTTGGAGATGTATGGCATTACAGAGTTTTAAAACTATTTGTTTTCATATATTAGGCCCCCCCAAAAAATATTTGGTCTCTGGTCAGACCAAAGTTCCAGAATTGACGCGGCCACGCGGCTTTTTTTTTTTTTTCTTCAAGCTTGGATTGTACAGACAAGGTGGGTACTATTTTGCTTTTTTGGTGTCCTCATGTACATTGGTGTCCTCCATAATTTGCCTTGGTGCTTTCGATCATTTGCCTTGGTGCAATTTCCCATTTCTTGGTGCTCTTTGGTAAAAAAATTTGAGGAGGTGCGGAAATAGAGTGCGCTGTTGGAGCTACCGCGGAACATTTTGGGAGAAAAAAAAAGATCGACGCGCATGATTAAAATCGACGCGCGCACTGACCAGAGACCAACTTATTATTTTTTTTGGCCTTAGTCATGTGTAAGATGTTGTACAGTACCTAGATACTAAACAAGTAATCTGCGAATCACACGTTGCTTTTGTGTTCTTCAAAAATATATCACATTTTGTGCATTTTTCAACAATGACCTCAATTAACCCCTAGATGACCTTTGACCTCCAATTTCGAAAGACTTGTGATGAAACTCCACCCAACCATCACTCCATCCAAGTGACATTAAAATCTATCAAATTCTGTAGATGAAGAAACATTTGCAGCAGATTTGAACAATAACCT